TAGCTGGGTTTGTGCACGTGCTATATCGATCTGTGGGCGCAAGGAAGTGATGTGGCGTGCATGCCTCGCTCGCTGTCAACCGAATCCTGCATTTATAAATAGCGTTCATAAAATCGCCGGCTAGCTAGTGTGTGTGGTTGCAAAATGTCAAAACAAATTAAATACCTATTATTAGATTTTTCCGTGTTCATCATCCACGCCAAAGTAAGCAACGTGCTCCTGCATGCTATATACGTACAATACTAGCAGCTGTAAACTAAACTAATATATCATGATCTGCTATTATCGTGAAACAATAAGCTAGCAGTAATATTAACCGTTGCTTAATTTCTCTTGAAAATGATGGAATAAGCAGAGACGGGGCAGGAGAAACCCAGGCTCCGGAGCTACGCCCACAAGGTGGCGGACAACGACGCCGACGTGGTGACCTACGAGGCCGACTTCGACGTGCCGCCGGGCTTCGGCGAGGTCGGCGCCGTGCTGGTCACCAACGAGCACCACACCGAGATGTTCCTCGAAGACGTCAACCTCTACTCCTCCTCGGCGGTGGCCGGCTCCGACTCCGACAGCGACGACGGTGCCCGCGCCGCGCCGCTCCTGGCCATCCGGTGCAAGTCGTGGGTGGAGCCCAAGTCCGCGGACGCCAACGGGAACGGGAAGCGCGTCTTCTTCGCTAACAAGGTACAGTGATCGGTCGTCCGGGGTTAATTACCAAATAAACTGTGTACTTCACTCGTACTCCAACGATTTAAATCACGTGAGCTTGACAAGTAGGTTTAGGCTATTCAGCCATGTGACCATGTCAAACCATCTAGCTCGTTCAAACTATAGAGACCGTCATCTGCATCACAAGTCAAGCTTCTAAATAGTGCATGGTCTCTAGATCTCTTGTGTTATTTCTTTATCAATAAAATTGGCGCACGGTGTCCATTCGTCAAGAAAAGACCGCTAGTTTTAGGGTGGAGTATAAGCTAGCTAGTATTAATTAATCCGGGATTGAGGGGGTTCGATGTCAATTCGCATTTATTAGTACAGCGATCTAAATTCTAAAATGATGACTAGTCACTAGTCAGTCTATTCGGCAGGGTTTGATAACTAGTAGTATGTAATTTAAGCATTCCATCATCAAGTTACAAAAACATACTACTATATCATTTTTAGCAAGTTTTGGAAAAAAATCATTTAAAAAAGAGATTTGATCAAATCTTAATAAAAAATATAAACGTCAATAACCTTGAAATCATTTTGTTTTTAAACATATACTTATACTTCCCTGTCTCAAAAAGAGTATTGCTATAAGTTCGTGATCAAACTTTCTTAAGTTTCACTAGGTTTATAAAAATTATTATTAGTAACATTATACCTCTAAAAAATTATTTAAAATATATTTTATAATTTATCTAATAATACTAATTATATATTATAAATATTAATATTTATTTTTTAGAAACAAATATTAATATTTTTTTGAGAAACCTTTAATATTTTCTTATGGACGAAGGGAGTGCTTTATATTGGAAAAGTACGGACACAATGGATGGGCCTACTAGCTTCTTTTTTAGAGGAGGATGGGCCAACTAGCTGAAAACTTATCAACCGCCCTGGTCCAAGCCATGGACCACGGCCCAACGACATCGATGATTTTGCATTATTATATCAGCACCGAAAATTATTTCCTCCACTGAACTGAAAATTTCTTGGCGTGCAGCCTTACCTGCCGGGGCAGACGCCGCCGGGGCTCCGGAGCTACCGGAAGAAGGACCTGGAGCAGAAGCGCGGCGACGGTCGCGGCGAGAGGAAGCCCACGGACCGCATCTACGACTACGACACGTACAACGACCTGGGCGACCCCGACAGCGACGCCGGCAAGAAGGCGCGCCCCGTCCTCGGCGGCAGCGCGCAGTTCCCCTACCCGCGGCGGTGCCGCACGGGCCGGCCGATGTCGACCACGGACCCCGAGACGGAGACCAGGAGTGGCGACAACTACGTGCCCAGGGACGAGGCGTTCTCGGAGGTGAAGAACCTGCAGTTCTCGGTGACCACGCTGCGGTCCGTGCTCCACGCCGCCGTGCCGGCCGTGCAGTCCACGCTCATCGACCCCGACCTCGGATTCTCGTCCTTCTTCGTCATCGACAAGCTGTTCGAGGACGGCGTCGAGCTGCCCAAGGCCGAGCAGCTGGGCTTCCTCCGCAGCGTCGTGCCGCGCCTGCTCCAGATCCTCCGTGACGGCCCCGGTGACCAAGTCCTCCTCTTCGACACGCCCGCCAATGTTCAGAGTAAGCATACGCCTCGCCGCTCTAGCCTTTTCAATTTCATTCACTCAGCACATAAGAATTCTATGTAAAGTTCAGCAATTCACAATTTCACATTTGTTTGGAACATGGATGCAGAGGACAAGTTTGCATGGCTGAGGGACGAGGAGTTCGCGAGGGAGACGCTTGCCGGGATGAACCCGTACGCGATCGAGCTCGTCAGAGTAAGCAGATGTCGATCGCCATGTCTAAGACAACTTTTTTATTTTGATCCGTGTCTGATGTCTGCACAATGCCGAAAATACGAATGTTGCAGGAGTTCCCTCTGAAGAGCAAGCTGGACCCGGCGGTGTACGGGCCAGCGGAGTCGGCGATCACGGCGGAGGTGCTGGAGCGGCAGATGGGGCGGGTGATGACGGTGGCGGAGGCGGTGTCGAAGAAGCGGCTCTTCATGCTGGACTACCACGACCTGTTCCTGCCGTACGTGCACAAGATCCGTGCCCAAGCGAACACCACCATGTACGGCTCGCGCACCGTCTTCTTCCTCTGCGACGACGGCACGCTGCGGCTGCTGGCCATCGAGCTGACGCGTCCGGCGTCGCCGACGCAGCCGCAGTGGCGCCGCGTCTTCACCTCGTCCACGGACACCACCGAGTCGTGGCTGTGGCGGATGGCCAAATCGCACGTGCGCGCGCACGACTCGGGCCACCACGAGCTTGTCTCCCACTGGCTGCGCACGCACTGCGCCGTGGAGCCCTACATCATCGCGGCCAATCGGCAGCTGAGCGAGATGCACCCGGTGTACCAGCTGCTGCACCCGCACTTCCGCTACACCATGCGGATCAACGCGCTGGCGCGGTCGGCGCTCATCAACGCCGGCGGCATCATCGAGCTCTCCTTCTCGCCGCAGAGGTACGCCATGGAGCTCAGCTCCGTCGCGTACGACAAGCTCTGGCGCTTCGACACGGAGGCGCTCCCCGCCGACCTCGTCCGCAGGGGGATGGCCGTGGAGGACCCCGGCGCGGAGCACGGCCTCAGGCTCACGGTCCCGGACTACCCGTTCGCCAACGACGGCCTGCTCGTCTGGGACGCCATCAAGGGCTGGGTGACGGCGTACGTCGCCCGGTTCTACCCGGACACCGGCACCATCGCCGGCGACGCGGAGCTGCAGGCGTTCTGGACGGACGTGCGCACCGTGGGGCACGGCGACAAGAAGGACGCGCCGGGGTGGCCGGCGCTGGACTCGCCGGCGAGTCTGGGCCACGCGCTGACCACCATCATCTGGGTCGCGTCGGCGCACCACGCCGCCGTCAACTTCGGGCAGTACGACTTCGGCGGCTACTTCCCCAACCGGCCGTCCATCGCGCGCACCAACATACCGGTGGAGGAGCCCGTCGACGCCGCCGCGCTCGCGGCGTTCCTGGACAACCCGGACCAGGCGCTCCGCGAGTGCTTCCCGTCGCAGGTGCAGGCGACGCTGGTGATGGCCGTGCTGGACTTGCTGTCCACGCACTCCCCCGACGAGGAGTACCTCGGCGGGCTGGAGACCGCTCCGTGGAACGGCGACGCCACGGTGCGGGCGGCGTACGGGGAGTTCAACGCGCGGCTCAAGGAGATCGAGGGCATCATCGACGGGAGGAACAAGGACCGGAGGCTCAAGAACCGGTGCGGCGCCGGCATTGTGCCGTACCAGCTCATGAAGCCCTTCTCCCAGCCCGGTGTCACAGGGATGGGCATCCCTAACAGCACGTCCATCTGATAATCCTTGACTCCTCATTATTTTACCTCGGTACGGTGTCTAGTGGAATTAATTCTTCGTCATTGTAATTGCAATTGTAATACCAGGGATGCAAACTTTACTTCGGTGCCGTGTATGTATTTGTTTATTTATTTATTATCCTCTTTGTTTTTACATTTCTACTAAGTACAAACAATCTTATGTCTTATGAACCCCTTAAAACTATCACAATATCTGATCATCGAGTCTGGATTCTAGCAGATGATGAACTCACTATGGATATATCTTATGATACAGTAGAATTCGGTCGCAACGTTGCCCACATATTCAACACGCCCCCCATTTTGGATGCCTGACTAACACATTTTGAACAATAATAGGTAAACCATTGGTACTGGAAAAAAAATTTATTCAAACATCATTGTCAATAACAACCTTGTGAACATTGATACTGTAAAAGTTCTATGGATAAAGCTTAAACCTTCATTGCCAGAGATGGAGCGGGAGATGCCCATACTCGGTTGTCTACCTTTTGTGTAATATTGAAAATTGAATCCGTGTAATATCGAAACTTTGAATCCGTATAGTCCAGCTTGTAACCCTGTAGACCCCCTAGGATGCTCCCAAGAAGTGCGCGGTTTTTGTGGTCAAACTTTTCTACCTCAATTACAATATTGCACAAATAATTTGCGTATTTGAGAAAAAATTTCATAATAGTCTGACAAGTAAATAAAGAACTACATATATGTGAGGTAAAAAAACGCATTCCCGCTCACATTCAAATTTCCTTTCGTTGGCACTGCGGCACTGCCAGTGAAGCGCTAAAATTGGCAGGAACAGTCGGTGTGATCCAAAGGCCCAATAAACTAAAGCGTAGCCCATTACTCTTGAAACCGACTTGACCAAAGCCCGCTACGCCCTCGTCGGCGACCAACCAACCGCCCCGCACGGTTTCCACGGCCCGTCTCCCTCCTCTCCGAGACCCCGACCGCTGACGCTCGCCGCGCGCCATGGAGCCGGACGCCGACGAGGACTACATGGGCGACCTCTCCCGATTCCTCCCGCCGAGTCCGTCCTCCTCCACCCCGCCGAAGAACCTCGGGCGCCGGAAGCAGCCACCCACGCAAGCGCAGGCGCAGACGCGGGCGAAGCGCGGGAAGGGTGTGCCGTGGCAGGAGCGGCGGCGGCAGGAGCGCGAGCGGAAGCAGCGGGAGGAGGACGCCCGCACGATGGCGGGGCTCGCGGAAGCCATCCCGGAGAGCAACGTAGGGTTCAGGATGTTGAAGCAGATGGGGTACGATCCCGAGTCCCGCGGCGCTGCTGCCGAGCCGGTCGGCATCGAGATCCGCCGCTCGCGGGCGGGGCTCGGGGCGGAGGAGCACGCGTTGACTCCGGCGACGGCAGTGGCGCCTGTGGAGAAATCGCGGGAGGTGGCGGAGCGGGAGCGGAGGCAGCAGGAGGAGATGGCGGTAGAGCTAAGGGCGCGGAAGAGCACGCAGTGGAAGGGCCGGAGGGTGGTTTGGGACTACCGCAAGGCCGAGAAGGCGCTCGCGCAGCTGGAGAACAGGGAGGTGGAGCCACCCGCACCGGAGGGGGAGAAGGAGAAAGGGGCAGAGGAGGAAGAGGAGGTGATCACTGAAGAGGTAGTCAATTTTACTCTTTTTTCTTGTTATATGTTGGTAACATTGTTTAGGATCACAGGCCCACTGTGATTGTGCTATGCATTATGATTTACAAAACTCGAACTTAGTGAAGTCTGTAGAATTTTTATGGGATTCCCGGGAATGTAGTGGAGTTAACACAAAACTGATCATGGTATTAAATCAAGGTATATGACTGTTTCGCCATTTTGTCACCATTGTCGTCAACTCGTCAAAACCATGTATTGGATACACAAAAAAAATAATTCGACCTTGTTTTTTCTTCTCTATTTTTGGCTTAAAAAAGACCAAAGCATAAACGCTTATGGGTGCCTGATAATAGTATGCCTGCCTTTTCATACCCATGTCGTGTGAAGGCAGTGAGGAGTAGTATGGATATGGATTGTGAATTCTGAACTTTACTAACTGTCCTGGTCAATGTTTTCAAGTCGTCCGATTAATCGCGATTAATCACGATTAATCGTCCTAATCGGTCCCTGCTGACTGATTAGGGGTACCGTCAACTTGTACAAGTCGTCCGATTAATCGCGATTAATCGTCCTAGCCGGTCCCATGGCGACTAGGTTCAACTGGACGACTTGAAAACATTGGTCCTGGTGTTGCCAAAGAGGAAGAGATTAACATGTCATGTTTTGTGTTGTAGGATTTGCAGAACATTCTGTCTAAGTTGCGTGACCGGTACCAGTATTGCCTTTATTGTGGATGCAAGGTGAGCTTTTTTCGGGAAACTCAGTAAACTTGTTTTTTTTTATACAGCATCTTGCATACCTTTTATACTGGATGCTTTTTCCTTCTTTGTTCAGTATGAATCACCAGAAGCGCTGGCAAAGGAATGCCCCGGCCCTGATGAGGATGATCATTGATTTGTTGTGTGAAGGTGACAAAGAATTGTCTTTGATACAAACAGGTGATGGTTCTATACTCACTGCAATGATGTTCGGTCATGATTGGTGTACATTGGATTTGCAATACATTGGAGCATCACAAGCTTTGTGCTCTTGTCCTTATCATACAAACACAATAAGCACTAGAATAGCTTGTTTTTTTGGCCGTATTGGCTACTTTTATACTTCTAGTTAAATAGTTTCTAGCTATTTTATATCGGAGTGATGAGACCTTAATGAGGGTTTAGCCTAGTGCTTAGCCATGTATCTAGTTATCTACTTAGCTATTTACTATTCACTGTCTAGCTGTTTTCAGGTGCCTTAGCATCCAAGCTAGCATCTACTTTATACACTAGAATATGCTGTAGTAGTTGAGAACTTCTTGTATCCCAAGTTTGCTTATCCTATATAATGCAATCAAGCGGCTAAGTGCCGAGCTGGCCCTCTGGCAGGAGAAATTCCACTTGTCTAGCTACTTACTTGCAACACTTAGGTTGACAGAAAACAGAATTGTTGCACTGAAAGTGCTGGAAGGCATATCCTCTAGAGTGATGCCATGCAAATAACTATTAACTGCTACATGTGCAATATCTCAATATTTTTTCTCGAGTAAAACGGAAGAGCTGCGTGTCATTTTATTAAGAGGAAAATATTACAGAGGAGGAGGCCAATTGACTAAAGTGGCAACCCATCTAGCAAACAGGGTTACAAAAGCATCACAAATACAAAGGTTTTCCAAGTCTCCCTGCCATAACATGTCGATTCGCTTGCGTTGTCCAATTAACATATGGCCTCGGTGTTGAAGGGCGTCTGGGGAACACACGTCCAACACGTGCTGTTTTGCAGGCTTTTTCGCATACATGGAACTAAACGGGCCAAAATGATCAGAAAATGCCATCCACCACAAGGGCACATGGATGACAGTCTAGTCTATGAATCGAGTACTATTAGTGTGTCTAAATCTAAACTTTTTAAATCTTTTTGTGACGCTATGTGTATCCTGGAGTGTTTGAAGATGGTTATATCAACTCAATGTAACGATCTTGAAATTAATAAAGCTTCCGTTGTTGAAAAAAAGAAAATACCATCCACCACCTGATTAAGTGTCAGGTGTGAGCGAGGTAAGGAGGAGTTCATGGAGTGTGGAAGCACCAACCAAGCACCACAGACACACTCGTTGACTAGGTTTACCACAGAGTGTCTGAATAATTGGCATGGCTCCCTCAAACATGCAGGTGTTTCGGTGCTTCTAGACTTCCCAAGTCACTAGGATGATTAGGGTATTGGGACCCTTTCGCATTTTATTAGGGACATTTCTGTCGGTGCTGCCCCACCAGCTTGAGAAGCTTGTTGCAGTGATAAATATCTCAATATGAAAACTGAAGTGTATTTGTTCTTTGTCAGTCTGGAAAGATGGGAGTGGGATGGAAAGCCACAAGGAGCGTCTACATATGATATGCTATGCAGCAATACTGGAGCGTAGCTACATCTTCGGAGCCCCTCATCAAGGCACAAAGGCTCTTCAGAGCCAGAAGAGAATAGTTGCCAGTGGTGAACAAGCAAACTGTGATTTTGACCTGTGATAAGCGGATGACATTTTTGTATCTGCTTTCCAACTGAGTGAGAGAGGGGGCTATATTTGTCGACATCTGCTCGATTTTGTAGTCAGAAAAGTCGAAGTCTATTTTATGAAACTTCCACTGTGCAATGCTGGAATGGAATATCTGTACATTGCTGTCAGTCTTGTGTGTCGTCTAAGGATCCATCATTGCTGAAGAAATGCCTGGAAAGGGCCATGATCACTGTTGAACATCACAGAAGGTACCATAGTACCATATGCTGCAGCATTATTTAGCATGACGCTGGTTCTTATTTCCTATTGTCCCTAACTTCATCATTGTACTCTTTGGACCCTGCCTAAGGCAATTCCATTGGCCTTCTTTGATGTAGGTTCCACATCTGTTTGCTCTTTGAATTAGACAGTTCTGCAACAGAAACATTTTCAACTTGTACAGCCTTTGGAAATAAAAGAGAAGGAATGCCATGAAAAATAGTGATTGGACATAAAAGGAGATACACACATCAAATTTTCCAAGACATTCTCTTTCGTGCAATTCCAAGTCTTGATGCTTTATGTAGAAAATAAAACAGTTACACTAATAGCTGGATTTCAGTCTCATGGATGTTGCAGTTATTTGCTTGCTTGTGTTCTTGCTTGTTATTCTGTCTTGTCTGTTTGATTTGGCTAAGTGTGAAAGGGCCTCTAGCTGAGTTGGTAGGTTGATCCGGCCACGGCCATCGTTGTTCTCACATGGGCTACAATGCGTTGTGTATGGGTGGGGCAGGGGTTGGGGGGTTTTTTTGACCTCCGTGAGGTCTTCTTAATGCAATGCCCAGGGCTGTCTTACCCTCACAGGTCGAGTTTTTATTTTTTTGATTTGGCTAAGTAGACAGCGATATCGATTTTTTATATTCTTTTTTTTTACAAGAATTTTTTATATTCTTTTGTGGTCAATGGTTTACATAACTGAACATTGTTCCTGAATCCTCACTGTTTTTCCTGCTCCATAATGTTTTACTGTCAGCAAATTCAATGTTCCAGTCTGTAAAATTGGGTTTTCTTCTTCAACCTCAGCTGTTATATTTCATAATAAGAAAATTGACTTTGGCTGGATTCTTCAATGGAAACATTTACACTCCTCGACTTTGAACTTTTTTGGTATATATTTCGACTTATCTCAATTTGTTTACCTGGAGTTGTTGACTAATTGTTTCCTGATAGAAAAGCATATGACATTAGAACTCAAAGAATACCTTGGCAAATAAGCACTGACAATCTGTGACGCTATTCAAATTTATGTCCGTGCCCTCTCATCTGGTAGAATCATACCACGCTGCCTTGACCAAAACACCTGCATGTTGTGTGCATTAGAACTCAAAGAATACTTGCAATATGTGTGCGCCCCGTTCGTTTGGGCTTGTTTGGCTGATAAGCCATGGCTGAAAGTACCGTGGACTGATTTAGTGTGAGAGAAAAATACTATTCATTGGCTGAAAAAGTACGGCTTATAAGTCAAATAAGCCTAGACGAACAGGGCATATAGTCAAAAAAAAAAAGTACGGCTTATATTTTTGGACATCTGCTCTAGTTTGTAGTTGAGACTCGTAAATGCCCAACCCTACTTTCTCGAGCATCTACAGTGTGATGATAGATTCTCTGTACTGTATGTCGTCTAAGGATCCATGATCACCGATGGTAAGCCTGGAATGATCACTGTTCATTGTCGCAGGAGCTACATAGTCCCATATGGCTACAGGCTACCGCATTTGAGGTTGATGCAGTGTTTCATTGGTTTTCTTTTTAGTGTGGGTTCCTCAGCCTGTTTGGACCCTGAATTACGCTGTGTACCGGCAGCTACAGATCCAACCTGTACAGCAGATCCAAATCACTCAACCAGAAAGAAATCGGAACACCTGCTCAACAAACAGTGATTGGACAAAAGAGTGAATGAAATTGAAATACCTACACACCAAACAGTGATTGGACAAAAGAGTGAATGAAATTGAAATACCTACACACAAAACTGTGATCGGACAAATGGAAATAAATTCGCCAAAAAAAAAATCTCTCACAGGAAAGGTGCCGTTGTTCTGTGTGGAATATACCACTGTTCTCCACTAAGAAAATTTGGTAGATTTGGAAGAAGCTGCTGCATGGATCTCATTCTGCCCTCACCACACCACTGGTGCTAAGAGCATGCTGCAAAGCCACGCTGTGCCTGTGGTCTCGCTTTACATAAACAACACTCCCTTGGAACCGATTCTTGGCAATGCCAGGCAACATTGGAGGGCACAGCAGAAAGAAGCATGTAAGTTCTGCAGCCTCAAGTACAATATTCAGTAGAAATGATGCATGGAGCCATGCTTGCTTTTTCTCCAGGTCATTCTACTGAAAGGTGCACCTGCTCTGGATCACAGGATGTAAAGACCACAGTACCAGCAGAATGGACGGACCATCAAACGAGTAGGATATTTTCAATAATCACCCCAAAACTGAACAGAGCAAATTTCAGGATGAATATGAGATTAATACATCGAGCGAAGTCCCCGACAAGCATACTGATAACTTCAAATCATGGTGGTCTACATAGACGCAACAGATGAGTTCATGGACAACCACAAAAGAAATTAGTCTCCTGACATTGCATTAGTTCCTTATCATACTGGATGCTCTAAGCTAGCAAACAGCGTGCAGCATCAGGCTTTCAGTTCCATCTCTCTGTGCGGCTATGATCTGCTGCACTTTATTTGGCCTCCTAGAGCGACCAGCCCATTGTGTTGCCGGACTGGTCGAACGTGCCCGTGGAGCCCTGATCATTGCGCGGCGCTGGCGCTGACCCTGGCGCTGGCCTGTTTCCCTGCAGGGCAAGCTCGAGCTCACCTGAGAACTGGCCATGATGGCTGCTTGAGCCTGAGTGCACCTCGCTGAGGGGGACGTCAGGTGGCAACTGAGGCACGTTCCGCCCGCCTTCATGGCCCCGGGAGTCAGTCCAGGGGCTTGGCGCAATGTAGCTACTCGCCATGAGGGAGGGTGCCACAGGGTTGCCGTCAAAACCTGCTGTTGCAGGCATTGATGCAGCATGGCTGTGGCCGGCACTGTGGGTAGTATCCCATGGCTGAGTTGACAGAAGAGAGAGAGCACAGCTAGAGTCCGAGGGGACTCCTGCAAGACATCCACCTGGGGGGAGCTCCGGACCAGGGAACACCGGTGGCCTTGACGACGAGCTACCCTGGCTCCCATATGAGTGGGCACCGTATCCTGCGACCGCGCTTTGATGATGATGAGGATCTAAGCTCGCTTGCCACTGGATACTACCAGGCGCCCTTTCACCAGGTCGAACTGCTGGAAACCCATCCCTCATGGTGGTTGGAACCCTTGGGTATGAAAAATCCAACATGAAGCTTCTGAACCTGCCGGGCTCTTCTGGATCAAGCATAGGAACATTAGCAGATACAAAAACTGAAACTTTGGTCACTTACATCACAAAGTAGAAACAAATAAAGCAGCTTTGTTACCACCGAATGATGCAGCAAGGCGACCATATCGTGATGCAAGAGGTCCAGGAGGTGGCCTCCTCCGGCGTTCATTGTGGCCTGCAAGACGTCTGCGGCAGCTTTTTTTTAGTTGGTCAAATTCAGGCAGCTGGTGGAACCTGTAATTTATGTGAACAGAGATGTGTTCATTCAAGTGTCCTTGATCAACTTACAGGTGAGGCACAGTAACAGAGTTTTATAAGGAATACAAGTTGCATTCTCTAAATCCACATATATTGTTGTAGACTGATGGTTTCTGTGCAGAATGCAAACAAAGCAGGCAATAAAAAAATTCATGGAACAAGCATAAACCATAATAACTCTTACAATAGAGTAAAATGCAAGTTGAATGATGGGATAATAGTAAGTTCAAAGTACTTGTTTATCTTAGTAGCAACATGTGAGTACTTATCTTAGTAGCAACATGCATAGCGCGACATAAGATATAGGAAACCACACTTTAGGTTAAAGCCATTGGGAATGGTAGTACATTCAAGAGTAACATTTCTCTTCCTCCTAGGCTAGGGTTGTACTGCACATCCATTAAAGATTAACCTCTGTCTTATGCCATTCATAATTACACCTGCACATCCATACTAAGAAAGCAAAGAGAGAGTGTATGTAATCATTCATAGAGATGTGAGATGTCGGGCTTAACACAACAATACACATCCACCAATGAGGTTTACATTAATGCCGGGGCAGGTGTCCTTAACAGCAAGTGGCAGATGGTCCAACTTAGCTTCTCTAATGATGTGTTGTTGCTATAAGTGGCTATGTGGTGTTTTGGTTTAGGACAGCCCAAATCCAGAACTGTGGCACCTTTTCTTTTGCTGGGGACGTGAGGATACCCCTGTAGCCTAGCCCTAAAGCACAAAAGCTTGGTCGATCGCTAGGGTGATGTGTCCAGGTCCTACTCATATCAATGCTTAAGACATGTAGTTCCACCATCATGTTTAGTTTTTTTTTCCTATTGTAACTTGATTGACAAATAAAATCAAAAGCTTGAACCTAACAGCTGAAAATAGCATCGCTACAGGTGACCATGGACCAGAAAGCCCCTTTGTCCAACAAAAATTGAAATTATTACGAAATATCACACAGTGAAATTATTTAAACACTGCTTCAATCCAATCGACTACCATTGTCAAATTAGAGAACTGAATTACTGAAATACCTGTCCATAAGACCATAGCTACATTCTACTTTTTCTTTATTTCCTTATGTAGCATTGTTCTGGTATTAAGCCATGAGACAGCTCGATCTTTCCATACGCTTACTATCATTAGGCACCAGTGGCAAATTTATAAACGAATATGCTAAAGTGTATCTTAAGGAAACAAGCTATTCCAGAAACAGCCTAGTTTGGTGTAGCACCTGAAGGGACTAGAAATTTTTTCAGATCTTGGACCGAATGAATTTAATTTTGTTTGTTAAGTACTTGTAGTAGTCAAAATAGTGGAGCATTTTTTTAGGCACTAAACATTGAATAGTATCGTAGTACAACCTGTAAAGTTCCGAGAATAACAGTGGCAAAGGCTAGCTTGTTGTTCCTTGGGGGACCACTGAGGGCCAACTGATCATGCCTAATGTAGGATTCTTTTGGGGCGAAGGATGCCGCATGTAGTTTGGTTAAGTACAGGGGACAAAAAAAATGTCTAGTGCTATTTTTGAGGCAGACTAAACAATGGATACTTGGCCCGTTCGTTTAGCTGAAAAGCCATGGCTAAAAGCTGATTTGTTGTGAGAGAAAAACATTGTTCGTTCGTTGAAATAGCACAGCTCATAAAACAAGCGAAGAGGTCGTTTGAAATTCTTCAGTGTTGTTCCTTTGGGGACCACCCACAACCATAATCCAATCAAGCTCAAGGCAAATTGCATACAGTGGCTCTGTTCGCTTGTCTTTATAATCCATACATTTTAGTTTGTTTTTTTAGCCGAAACAATATTTTTTTCTCACAACAAATCAGTCGGACTTGGGCTGGGCAGTAATGGCTTGTTAACTGACAGGCTTCAATGAGATACTACTAATGCAAAGCAAACTGACAGACAGGCAGGCTGAGTCACATCACTCAATCATATTTAGGCCGCGTTTAGATGCTAAAATTTTTTGGTTTTGGTACTGTAGTCCGTTTGTTTGTATTTGACAATTAGTGTCTAATTATAGACTAATTAGGTTCGAAAGTTTCGTCTCACGATTTCTCACCCAACTGTGCAATTAGTTTTTTTTTCGTCTACATTTAGTACTTCATACATAATGAATACTGCGCAAAATTTTTTGGAATCTAAACAGAGCCTTAGCAAACTGACAAACTGACAGACAGGCTTCAGTGAGGCCACGTTCGATCGGTTAGGAGAGAAAAACACGGTTCTCGGCTTAAAAAAAAAGTTGAAAAAAATAAATTATAAGAGAAGCGAACGGAGCCTAGGAGGTGTGTCGCAGGACGGTGTTCGAATACTAATAAAAAAACAAAAATTACAGAATCCAACGGTAATCTACGAGACAAATTTATTAAACTTAATTAATTCATCATTAGCACATGTTTACTGTAACACCATGTTATCATATTATCAAACTAATTAGTCTTAAAAGTTCGTCTGGTAAAACCGTCTCGATCTATACATTTAATTTCGTAAATAGTGTCTATTTAATACTCCGTACATGTACGGAGCACCGATGGGACAGTGAGTATCAAACGAACGACAGCTACTAAAAGTTTGGGAGGTAGACCAAACACCCCTGAGCACTGCAGCATCCATCAAACCTACCAACTTCAAAGTTCTCATGAGCACCAGCACCATTCAAACGAAACATTAAAGTACTCTAATAATAATACCAAAGCAAGTTTTCATCTTTTTTTTTTATCCTTCATTCTTCAGAAAGAGAAGATGTCAGGGGGAAAAAAATTGGAACAGATGAAATCGAAGCTCCATCAAACTGAGCCAAGTTTCCACTGTTTAGCGCATCTAGTTTTGTAATGTGTCCATAATGAACCAAAAATTGTTTGATTTTCGTCTAGTCTCCATAAACCCTAGACAGTAAATAAAAGAAGTGGAATGAAAAGCGCAGAAAGCACAGCGAATGCTACCAACTGTCAACTGAAAACAAGCAATTGAATCATTGAATGAGAGGTGGAGGTGGAGGGAGGAGTGCAACAATGGCGGTGTGGAGGTGGTGAGTGACCTGCTGCACTGCTGGCAGAAGCGCTGCTCCAGGCCGTTGACGACGACGCGGGGCTCCTTGGAGTGCATTTTGCAGACCTTGTGGCGGCAGTAGTAGGGCTTGACGTCGGTGAGGTCAACGTTGCAGCCGTCGACCTGGCAGCGCGCGGGCGCGGGCGCCGGCGAGGGGCCCGCGCCGCCGGCCGCGGCCCTGCCCCTCCTGCCGCCGCCGCCGGCGGCCCTGGGCGAAGCGGCCGGCGGCGACGGCTGCTGCGTGGCTGGAGCCGCGGTCGCGCTGGCACTGGCACTGCCACCGCCACCGCCACCGCCTCCGCTGCTCCCGCTGCTGGAGCCGCCCGCGGCGTCCTCGAAGTAGATCTTCTTGCCGAACTTGAGGCCGTGCAGCTGGTCATCCCCGCCGCCGCCGCCGCCACTGGCGCCGCCGCCGGACTCCATTGCGGCGGCGACTGTGTGTGAGGGGAGGGGGTGGTGTTGTGCTGTGGCTGGGTCTCCCCCTCTTCTCTCTCCTCCTCCAAGAGGGAGGGAGGAGGTGGCGAAGGAGAGGGACAGCGGGGCTCGCTGTTGCCTTAAAAATAAGGGCCTCCCTCCCTCACCTGTGCGCGCTCTCTCTCCTTCCACTCCGAGCACCTCCCCTCCACTGTGGGCGTGTGACTGTGTGATGCGAGCCGCGGCAGTGCGGCTGCGTCTCTCCTGCCGCTCGCGGCCTCTGAGCACGGTCTCTCACGCAAGCGCACGAGCCGGCCTAGCTAGCCGCGCCACGGCGCCACCGCCACCGCCACCTTTCGCTTCCATCGGCTGCTCGGGTTGGTACGACGGGCGCGCGTCGCCACCACTGACCGCCCCGTGCCAACGTCTGCCACCACCCGGGGGGGCTTTTTGTAGACGCGACGCGAGGGGACGGGGAGGGGGTAAAGAAAAAAAAAAAAGGAAGGCTGCGCTTGCGCTTGTGGCAGCGAGCTGAGCGAGGCGGCCGCTCAGCCGCATGCCATCTTTGGCGCACCGCACAGTGGCAGCCGGCCGGCCGGCCGCCTGTCCCCAGTTATCAAATCGCTCAGAGCATCAGACACACCGAATTTTTTATTTTTAGTCTTTTTTTTTTAAATTCACAAATATGTTGTCGGGGCCACGTTGGCGCTATAGACACTAACATGGCAGCCAGCTTGGCGCCGTGGATCTTGGCGCCGGCGCCAACAATCCTAGCGCCGAGCCCTCTTACGAATGGGCCTGAGGTTCCTTTCTCTCTACCGTCCCCGCCCGCGCCTCCATGCCGCCGCGCCTGCGCTCCCGTGCCGCCCCGCCCACACCCGCGCCGCCGCGTCCGCTCCCGCGCGATTGCGCCGCCCCGGTCGTGCCACTCGGCGCTGCGGCTCGCCCTGCCCCACCTGTCCTCGGCCCGCGCGCCCTCGCGCGGCCTGCAAGTGACCTCCCAAACCAAAGTTGTTCTTCCGGTTTACCCTGCATAGCGGGCTAGCGGCGGCGCCTCCTGCCGAGAGAGAGTGAACTCCGTAGCCATGGTGTGGGAGGAGGAGGCGGTGGAAGAGGAGGAATACGGGGATGAGATGGCGGCTTCAGAGGAAGAGGAGGACGTCGTGGTGGGGCAGATGCCGACGGTGATGGTGCTAAAGCATATCAATAAGAGGGCCCTGAAGAACAAGGCGCTCTCTGTTACGCTCGACAAGAAAGCGCTCAGGTGCGGCTACCTCCTTTGCCTTGCCTTGTCCCCGTTGGCGACGCCCGCGAAATTCCTATTGCAAAACATGATTATAGTGGTTATTTTTGTTGCGAATTGTGTCAATCGACGCATTATATAGCTGTGGTACTGTGGTTCAAGGGATTTGACGAATTCGTGGCTGGGACCAGTGGCGGATTCAGGATGGGATCAAGGAGGGGGCTAAGTAATGGACATGTTGATTGATAATGAAGATTTAATGATGATTTATGCTTGATGCTACAGTAATTTAACGAGGAATTAAGGCTCACGAGGGGGGGCTGCAGCCCCCCCAGCCCCCCTGGATCCGCCAATGGCTGGGACCTTGGTTTGGTAGGGATTTCGTGACTGGGTTCCACAAGAGGAAGAAGAAGAGAAGAAAAGAGGCGCAGAAGATTTTGCAGGAGAAGGAGAGGAAGAAGAAAATACAGGACCCCAAGAGGGTAAGAAACACTTCTCTCCCTAACACACATACAGAAGTTTAGTTTCTATCCTGTGACGATGTGGTTCATGAAAGATATCAGTCTTTATTCTGTAACGATGTGGTTCATGAAAGATATCTTGGTTTAGAATTTTAGAATGAATGGTGGCTAGTTCTTGTATTAATGAAAGACAAATTGTCCATTTGTCCTAGCGAAAAATGATTGGCCGTTGATTTTTCTCTTTCCAATCACTTGCTATTTGTCCTAGAGATTGTTATTCATCTGGGATAGTAATGTATGCCATTATGCCAACGTTCACGAGTCCAATATTAGGAGAAAATAGGAAGAAAGAAATCCAAAAGAGGGTGTGCTTATGTTGTTCATATTGAAATGGAGAAAGCTTCTAGTAATTGACAGTTGATATGCATCGTTAGGGGAGTAGTGACTAAGGGGACTGCTAATATATACTCCAATGGACTGATGGGTAAGTTCAATGGAAGATGCCTGCAGATCGCAGCTCATACTGCAGTTCTTAAAGCTGATTTCCCCCTCCTTTTTGGCGATGAGACAACACTAAGGGCCCGTTTGGTTGTCCAAATTGTTAGAACCGAATTGAACTAAGTCTCAAATACAAATCCATATGGAAATAGAAATGGGGCACAGATTCGATGCTTTTGTTTGATTGGCATATGGATGGCTGTGATAGTTGCTTGGACCTAGTTCCAGCCCCCAATCTAAGCACCAAATGCTACCTAAGGATTTCAGTCATTGTAGGTTGCTTGGACTATTTTTGGTTCGCTATATTGTTAGAACCGATTCAACAAGTCCCAAAACCAAATTCATGTGAAAATTGAAATGGAGGCACCAATTTAATGCTTTTGTTTGGTTGGCAAGTGAATGGTTGGGATAGTTGCTTGGAGTCAATTCCAGCCCCAATCTAATAACCAAATGCTACCTAAGGATTTTACAGATATCCATGTAAAGGTGATAGGGATGTCTATGAACAGTTTAGTGTCATTTTCAGGTGGCTTGTGTTTCACTAATTATACATGAGCACACTACTTGGTTGTTGCCATTAGGTCTTTCTCAGTGCTGTTATTTTGTTACAGAGGAAAGAAGAGAAGGAGATTGCTCTATATGGTAAAGTACTGTCATCGGATAACAATGATGGTGCTGGATTAGAAAATGAAGATAACAGTGATGATGGTGAGGATATGGAAAATGACGAACCTTTGTCTGGTGAGTACCTGAACTAAATTTGTAAACTACCATGTCACACTATGATATTTCTAGAAGTCAAACCTCATTCTCTGGTAATTGATCGTGCTTCCAGAAATCAAAACCTACGAAGATGATGGGACCAGAATTATAGTCACCACCAGTGAAATTACTCCTGAAGACGATGACATCAGCCCGAAAACTGTCGGCCCTTTGGCGACGAGCTACACCAACAAGAATCCTAGCTCATTTGCTAAGAAGAACAACAATTTAGGTGTGAAGAAGCCACAGAAGAGAACGTTCAAGAGCAAAAATAAAGCGAAAAAGGGTGACAAGAAGTGAGGTGCTGCAAAGGGTAAAAGGAAGGGCAAGGGAAGGAAGTAGTGTTTTGTGAACCCTCTGTAGAAAGAATTGTATGCCGTGACTGGCTGTGGACCTGTGGTTAATCTCGCATCATCTGATCTACACTTTGTTTGCTGGTATATCGATGATCATTTGCTCCGCAAACAAATTGTGATGGAACAAATTTGTTATATCGATGTTGTTGAGTTGTGCTACATGTCTGCTGCCAGTCTTAAGTAGATAGTGTATGCTCCTTTCGGCTAATCTTCCTGCCATGTTTTCCTTGTCTGGACCAATATCTGATGTGCTCATATCCGGCCAATAGTAGCTCCTGAGTCCTGCTCTATCTACAAAAACGGGTGATTATGTTTTGGGCAGATACGAGTATGTACCAACTCTTACGGAATGGGGTAGCAAGGCCACTATACAGCTATCCAAGCTCGCTGCTGCTAGGATCTACGGCGTCGAGCTCGACGCCAGAATCTACGTCTCCAAGCTTGGCGTCAGGATCTATGGCGCTGAGCTGTCTGCTAAGTCATCGCCCCGTTTGCGTCGAGACCAAGACCTGGACACCAGCAACGATGGCGCCGAGCAGTATAAGCTGGCGCCGAACTAAGGGTCTATATTTTAAAATCTTACATGGATATATTTGTGAAAAAATTTCGAAAAAAAGACTACAAAATAAAAAATTCGGTCACAGACTGAAAAAATACAGTAAAGCCTTTCTTTTTCTCCTCCCTCAGCGACGACAGACGACACACGCACGCACTGCGAGAGGGGAGGAGAGAGAGCGGCGGCGGCAGCGAGCTGAGAGATGCCGATGCCGATGCCGTCGACGACTCGACGCCGAGCTGAGATCGAAGAGAGGGGAACGCGAACGTACTAGGAGGGCTAAAAGCTAGCAGTACAGCAGGCCATGAATGAACAGAACAGCCCGGCTGTGTTGGCAGCTGCGTCTGCGACGGGGCTGGCTGCTGCCTTGCACAGAAGATGTTTCCCCCTGGCCGCTGGGCCCTCCACCCACACCCCTGACCCCACAAGTCCAGAGCCTCGTCACCCTCCTGACCTCCTCTCTCTCCACTGTCGCAGACACAGTCCAAGGGGCATGTCATGGCACTGCTCATGCCAGGCACGCTGACGCGCGGGGCCGCCCCGCCCCGGGCCCACTCGTCTGGTCGCAGCCTCAGCCTGTGGCTGTGTCTGTGTGCTGGCAGTAAGGATGAAAACGGTCGAACTCGGTGGAAAAACTCCTCAATCGTTTTCCACTTTTACATTTGAAATATGAAAACGAAAGCGAAAGCGGACAAGCCGGACACGAAAACGAACATGAACTTACGGAATATCTAGAATTTCGGAAACGAACCAATTCGAGCGGAATTATGTCGAACACGGTCGGTATGCGAAAATTCAATACGAAATACCAACCCACAGTGTATAGCATTAAACAAGTGCACGACCAAATATATAACAAGTTCACAACTAACAAGTGCATGATCTAGTTCAAGTACATAGCATTAAACAAGTGCACGACCAAATACATAATAAGAGAGATGAGGCTGAACACCGTCTATAAGAGAGGACAGCTAGGCACCAGTAGAAAGAACGCAGCTGTGTGGTGAGCAGCCTGTAATTGGGCTGTATGACCTGTGCAGTTGGCCAAATTCGGTTTAAACCGAATTTTGAATTCGGAATATTTCAAATTAAAAGTAGAAAAGTAGAAAACGGTCGAAAAATGTGTAAACCATTTTCTACTTTTACATTTAAAATACAAAATATCTCAAATACGAAAGCGAAAACGGTAAAGTCGAACAAGAAAATACGGATTCGATCGGATTAAATATAAAAAACGATACGGCTCGATTCGAGATATTTCCGTTCCGTTTTCATCCTTAGCTGGCAGCAATGATAGGTGAGTATTTGGCTGTGTATTTTTCCGCTGACAGACACACACAGTGCGACGAGCAGCCGGGCTGGGCTGGACCGGGCGTGCCCTTGCTTGCCCTGTGGGGGATGCTGCGGTGACTGGATGACTTGTCACTGCTGTGACTCGTGCTGCCCAGGAATGCTACCGGGAGTTTATTACCATGCCGCAGGGGTAAAAGTAGGACGGGGAAGTACTGTAGCGTGTGGGCTGGGTTTCCCTTTTTCATTTGCCCTTTCGTGGTAAGGGGCAATCACCAACCAGGGCTTCCAAACGCCTTTTCACACGTTCCAGGGGGTGTGGATGAGGTTTGGGCGTGCCAGGCCCAGGCTGCGTAGCGTAGTTCTACTGTTCTAGCCCTCTACCAACTCCCCCATGCTATGCCCCTTGGAAGAATGGTTGAACCCATGGGATATGTAACAACACGAGTACATAGGTTGTGTTTGTTTCCGGGCCAACTTCTAGCCTAGAATCCTAGTCTGGACAGCCTTAGCCTGCTTCCACCAAACCAATTCCTGATTGTTTGGTTATCTGTATTGTACTATGTTAGTATGGCTAGCTTCAAGGTGTGTTTGGTTGTCTGATTTACTTTGATACAGTCACCTCTTCTCTGAATCGGTAAGTTTACCCCTTTTGAGGAATTTCGTCGAACATCTGGTGGGCACCTCTTGAATGGGTGCACGGCGAGCATCGAACGAGCACGGGAGCGGGCATGGACCTTGCTGCCGCCGACGGCGAGCACGACGTACCACATGTCGGGGGCGATCTGCCATAGCACGAAGCCGCCCAGCTCCACGACGGCGGCACCGCGGTTCTTCACGACGCGCGTCGCCATCTCAAACTCGGACGCCACCATCCGCACCTTGCCCATGGCGTAGGCGTTCCGCACCGACTGCAGCAGCCTGTAGCCACCGGACGCCGCCGTGTACTGATGCAGGCACGGGCACACCAGACCGCATCTCGTAGAAGCGAAGCAACATCAAATGAAATCAAATGCTAGGCAACATGTGGATGTACAATGGGGGTTCCCTTGATGGAGAGGAGGGGCAGCGGCTCGGCTGGCCTGGACGGGATGGGCACGAGCGGCGCGCCCATGACGCCGTGGAGCAGGCACAGATCGGACCGCCGGAACGAGCCACTGGACCCGCTGGGATCACCACTGCCAGCTACAACAGAGGAGGCCATGGACAGCGTGTGCGTCAGGTGGCCGCAGACCCAGAGGCGCTCGGTGTCGGGCCCCTCGATGAGCGGCGCCAGTGCCTCCCCACTGGGGTGCAGACTGCCGAGGACGAGGAGGACGGCGAAAGCAGAGGTGAGCAGGGCCGTCACCGGTGGTTCCGTTGCTAGTGAGGGTGACTGCGGGTGAGGAAGGTGACGAGAACGGGCATCGGCTAAGCCAAGCCTGGCTCCTAGAAAACGACCTCCCCCTGCATTTTTTGGAGCTTGGCTAATGGGGTGGTGGGTGGCTTCCTGCTCCTGGTACCCTGGCTTCAGACTTAAAACAGGCAACCAAATAGCACGAAGGTGGCTTCGTGGAGCCTGGTTGGGACTTAGCCATCCAATCAAACACACCCATATACTCCGTAAGTATAGAACTGCATGTTACAAAACTAGTTTCTATGACGTACTACTCGTAAATGTCACGAATAGCATGAGGACTTGAATAATTGTGAAAAAACTTGTGGCCATTTCTGCTTTACTTGATGGGGAGAAGATAAAATTAATCAGGGGGATTTCCCCCTTCTTAAATTATGGCCACGGTTGTAAATAGCGGGCTATAGCGATGTTACAGTGGTTTCAGAGAGTTGTCGATATGTGTACCACCCCAGGTGTTACGGACTTAGTTAGCACTGAGGTTAAGGCCTAATAAACCTTAGCGTATATGTTTTCTAGGATTTTAAAAATAAATTCTCACATGAAATGGTAAGGTGAACCTGGTGTGACTTACTTTTGTGAATAAAAGAATCAAATAAGTGTTGCTAATCAATTTTTCTTTGGTACTTAAAACTTTTAAATAATCTTGGGAACAAAAGTTGTTTAGGGTTTGTTTTGGAAAAGTATGAAGAAAGTGCTTAAAATGCCTGATAGCAATTCTAGCAAATAAATGGTAAGTGGTTTGTCCTATTTGATTAAGCATGAAAAACAATTTTTATAAACAAAAATAAAATATAACTTGTATTTAGTACTTAAATAAAATTTAAAGTACAAGCTTGGTAGATGAAAATGCAACTTTTGTTTTGGTGAATAGATATTGTTCAATAGTATTTTTGATAGCTCGAGAATTGAATGTGGAATTCAATTTTAGCTTCTAGAACTAAAATGACCTAAATCTCAAAACCTAATGACGATGTCATTTTGGCATTTAAATTTTGATTAAATTTCTTAAACACTAGATCCATATTTTTGTACCGTTGGTTGCACTATAACGAGTACCTTGACATGGTGTTGTTCATGGACTAGTTTGGTTCTGCGTTTTCGTTGCAAAAATTGCCCAAACTTCGTTGAAACCAGATGTAGACCATGTTGTTAGCGCTCTGTTCATGAACTGGCGTTCAGCGTGACGAACTCATGTTGGCATCCTTTTATCTCCCTCTCCGGTTGCTCTCTAGTCATGACGATTGCTTTGCTAGGTCACTGTTAGTATCGGCTTTAGGTTAGTGGAATTGGTTGAACCCCGATCGTGTTGATCAGCAGCCTTTGCTTTGCTTTAAAATGCGTGCACGACACCGATTGCAGTTGTTCAGCCTGAGTCCGCAATTCACCGCGCATGCGCGGGCGCTGCTGGCACTGAGCCCAAGTCGTGGCCGGGCTATTGCCGCTGGCCAGCTTGTGCGGCCGGTCGGTGCCACGCGGCGTCCCTGGCCCTACGTTGGCCGATCTCGGCTGCCTGCGGCTTGGCTCCCGTTGTTGCTCAGTGTGTGTGCTACACTTGAGTGGCTGCCCGTTGTGCCGCGTGCAAGGGCGAGCTGTGGCTGCGGCTGCCCTCGCTTGGCCACCGTGGTGCTCGCTCGGCCCTCCAATTCACCTACCGCGTCGAGCCTCCTGGCATGCGCCACTGCCTGCCACGTCTGGGTCGACTGGCCCCGGTCACAGTGGCGATGGTGATGCCTCTCTGCCTCGGCTTGCCCTGCTAGCCGAGGCCGGTGAGCCCCGCTCGGGTCCTGCCACTACATTCCGAGCGTTTCGCGCCAAGCCTCCATGTCTCGTCATCTGTGCGCACGTGCTTGTGCTGCCGCCATCGATCGGAGCCGCCCCGTCTTAACCTGCTCGGGCTCACTCGTGTGCCCTCTCCACGTCCGCACCATGCGCGAGGCCACCACTCCTTCTTCCCTCCTAGCGTCATCGAGCTTCGTCGCATAATTCCTTGCTCCAGTGGGTAGCTTAGGAAGTCGGTTAGCCATCTCTTTCTCCTCAAGCCCGACAGAGCACTACCGACCGACAATTCGGCATTTTGCTCGCCGCCGGTCATGTGCGCCGCCGAGCCAGTAGGTCTGGGGGTAAGGCCCATAGGGTTGATAGCAGTTCAATTGCTCATAACCCTGAAGTCACCTTGACTCCCTCTATCCGATGCTCGCGCTATTTTGTCTAGGGTACTCGTTGGCGGTGTGGTGACGCGTCGGTGTCCGCCTCGGAGCGTCGCCGCCGGCCTCGCGCGCACGTGGCCATGATATCTTGACCCTCCTCTACTTCAACCGTCACCTCAGCATGGACCGTAGTGAGCCTTTGATGCTTCCTCGCCGTCTCTACTCTCCGATTAGTGCCCTAGGGCGTCGGAACGATCGCACCGCCGCACGGTTCGGCCCGACATCGAGGATAGACTTTGGTAGTGCATCATTGAGTTTCCTTCCGCTTCGCATCACTGTGCGTTGGCCTGTAGGTCCCCATCGGCCGGTTAGATGTGCCGATTAGGCCCTTAGTTGGCCAGCTTAGCCACGTAGTGCCGACCAAATTTGTGTAGTTGGCCAAAAATTATAAAACTAATTTTGTTAGGTTCCTAAAATCATGATCTACCTGTTAATATATATTGTTCACATAGTTTCATAGTATTTTTAGGAGTTATCTAATTGAATTGAGATGCTTAATATTATTAAGATATAAACTTGTTGGAATTTTTTAATAAATTGGTAATAGTGTTAGCTTTAAAAATTTCACAGTAAATTCTTAATATTATTAGGTGCTCACTGTAATTTTTGTAGCTCCATAATAAGTGGCTTGCTAATATAGCTAAGGAGACCTAGTTCGAATATATATATATATATATATATATATATATATTAAATCAATGAAATGAAGAAACACCTTGAAAGTCTAAAGCTAAAACACTTGTTGGGAAATAACGCCTTATTCGACAACATGGATACGTGGCCTAGTACGTTAGTCATTAGAGCTAGCTCGTTAGCGTGAGAAGCATAAACTTATTTTAAGAGTTGCGGTTGCCACTGATTAATTACGCTCTGCGTTGCATCCATGTATATCATAATAGGAATAATGATGGATCGTGGAGTCGACCAGGAGTAGTAGAAAAGATGGTGCCTTGATGATCATGTCACCACGATGGAGTGCTAACTTTTGGTTATATCTTACCCAGGCAAGCCTCGGTTCATAACCCCTATTATTATGCACTTTATTTTATGCTTGTGCATTAAGTTTAAAGGAGTTGAATGAAGTCCACTTGCATATATATATCCTTATCCAATGAGTCCTACTAGTATGTCAGGATTGTGTAGATTGCTATGCTATAGGACCCGGTAGAAGTCAAGTGATTACCTGTCACTCGCGAGAGATAGGAAAAGATATAATTGTTACTATTATCATACTACCATCACATGGAATATATATATGGACAATAATTGGAGACTGGTTTGGACCGTATATGGACTTGGTTAGACAACCGAGCGAGGCTCTGGTTGCATTTGTTTCGCCTATGTCAGTTGAGGACCGTCCGTTGCTGTGGATGGTAGTTAGGTAACAGACTTATTATCCTGAGTACATACTTGCTTATAGGAGCGGGAAGGCTCATTGCGCTCTTCTCGTGGGTTTCGGCTCTTTTCGGACCGACTGATTGGAGGCAGGGAAAGGTAGAGGTCTCAAATGTGGGGGCTTGGAGTCCAAGTTTGGGCGGGGACCTAGACCCCTCGATAGGAGAGAAGTGGGTTGGTCTCGTTTGTGCCTGGGCTATAAGCAAGACGTGTGTTTCGGGGTACCTAGCTGGGATACATTGATTTACGAATCGCCGTTTCTGTGAACGGTACCGACTTGGCTATGGTCTAGCACCGTTGTAAGAACTAGAATATGAGAGATGGTAAAATAGTTCGGATTGCTTACCACATGCTTGAAAGTAGCTTATGTGCTTACTTAGAATGATTAGCTAATTAACTAAAAACAACTCTAAAAACTTGGAACATAAGAATGCACCATTAGTAATGCTTCCTGCAAATGCAATAAACCAGCAAGCCAAATAAGCCTTGCATATCCTTGGAGTCTTTTATTTTCCTCCTGTCAAGTAAGTCTTGCTGGGTACAATCGAGTACTCAGGGTTTTATTCCCCCTGTTACAGGTGACAAGTGGATACTAGAGCTAACTCTTATGTGTGAAACCTTCTGGTGGGCTCAGAGAGGATTTCTTTCACTCTGCGATCATAGTGTTTATTTATAACCCTCACTAAAGGTTTTTATAAGAAAAGATGTAAAATCTGCTAGCATATCTTGTATCAAAATGTCCACTAGGTCAATGCTTCACCATGTCATTAGATTAATCTTTGTTTCCGCTGTAACTCTGATCATATGTTTAATTTCCACTGTTGCATTCAACTTGTTTAAGTACTCTGATGTTGTAATAAAGTGATGTAAGAAATGGTTAGGAATGTTGTAAGCTTTATCCTCTTGATTTTTGAGTTCTCCCGGTGGGTGTACTCGATGGAACAATCTAAATTAGTGCACTTCCCTAAGTACTTAGTGTCTAATGGTAGACAAGTACTCTTGGTAAGGGTATTAGCTCAGGCGGTTCTGCCACACTATGACAACTACTAAAAGAAAATAACATGCTATAGCGAAGGATGTTGCTAGATCCTATAGCTTATTTACAACAATGATTATGGCTATAAATTTAGCACATTGGTTTTTCACTGCAAATACAAGTGTCTAAATATTGGCCTTTCATGAAAATAAAAAGTTCATGCAGCCACCATAAGGGCTCCGAGCCATCACCACCATCAGGGCACCTCGCAGTAGTTAGACTAAGGGGCCTTCCTTATTCTCTGGCGAGGCCACCCGTGCTAAGGAGGAGAGGCCCCATCCCTTGTTTATAGTTTAGCAGTTCTTTAGATTTAGTTTGCTTATATTTAGTCC